CAAATATAAAATAATAATTTAACAGAAACATTCAAATATAAAATAATAATTTAACAGAAACATTCAAATATAAAATAATTAACATCTCTGTCCCAGGCTGGAAATAAAACACAAATGGGGGGAAAAAAAGAGTTAATAAAATAATCATTTTAAATTTAAAAAGTTAATTAGATAATAATAATAAAATAATACCTCTTCTTTCACGGTCATCATTTCTGTTATGAGGTGTTGATTCTCTCAGTCATCATGTATGTCCCACCACGCTCCCTGAGGTCAGCGGACCAGTTGCTCCTCACAGTTCCAGGAACTCGTCTTAAGCGCAGAGGTGACAGGACCTTCTCTGTAGCAGGACCAAGACTTTGGAACGAGTTACCTCTGCTTGTCAGACAGGCCCCCTCCCTCTCGGTTTTCAAGTCCTGTTTAAAAACTCACTACTATTCAGTAGCTTTCAACACCAGATGATCTGTGTTTGATCCTGTATGCTCCACACTGGTTTGTCGTCATTATCTGCATCGTTTTTATGTCTATATTCTGATTTACCTCATTTTGTATTTTGCTTTGTGTGTTACCTGTTGTTCTGTCTGTACAGCTCTTTGGTTGGCCTTGTTGCTGTTTTAAGTGCTCTATAAATAAAGTGGTATGGAATCATCATCATCATCAGGGCAGGACTTTAATCTGGTCCAGGGCTTGTTGACAATATCAATTTTAGCTTTTTCATAAAGTGCTGCTACAACTTTTTGGCTGAAGTGTTGACGTGATGGGATGTCGCAGCGGGGCTCAAGAACTTTAAAGCCGGTGCATGAACAACATTTGGGCGTAGATCCAGAGCTTTAAAAACTCCTACAGCTTGTGTTGTTGCTCTGGACCGACCTGAATTACCTGATAAAGTTGTTTAAACGCTGCTGTTATCGCTCTTTGAAACAACCAAGCTGCTCCAACATTTTTCAGTCAGGTCATCTGGACAGTTTCTTTTTTTGCTGAAACGTTTCACCTTCCATCCAGAAGGCTTCATCAGTCAAAGAAACACACAACACAAAACTGATTCTTCCCCCAAACATCTTACTCCAAAGTGGAACAAACCAGTTTTGTTGGTGCTAAGATGGTCTCTTTAGCACGCTCCCTCCTCCAGTGGCAGCCCTCTTCCTTGTCGACAGTCATGTCAAACTGGTTCAAAACCAACAAAGTCAATGCTCAATAATCCAGGTATACAATCCAACATTTTTCAGTCAGGTCATCTGAACAGTTTCAAGCTGCTATTCTGTAGAAGAGACGTTCACGTTTTAATGATGTTGTTTCAAGAGCGTTAACACGTTCGACGTGTTGCTGCTGCAGAACCAATCTCTGTGAATCAACGTCGACTCACAGCTTTGGATTTGTTCACTTGTCTTTTAACAAGAAACACATAATGTTCCCAACCAGGAGACCACAACGAGATGCTAGGCTGCTAATGCTACGCGTGCTGCAAGATAAGAGTGCCGTGCTGAAACACGCTTAGGAACTTTAGTTCCGCGGCGCATAATCTCTCATTAATAAAATTTAATAAGTAAAAAAAAAACGGTTCAACACACCCACATGTATTGTTGCACCACTAGCAGCGACCCATCCACACTGTCGTGCTGTAAAGTTTGCAGATGATACAGCGGTGGTGGGATGCATCACAAACAATGATGAGTCCAGCTACAGGCAAGAGGTGGAACACCTGGAGAGCTGGTGCAGAGAGAATAACCTTCACATCAATGTGAAGAAGATGAAGGAGATGATTGTGGACTTCAGAAGGAACAAAAACACCTACACCCCCCTGAACATAAGAGGATCTGTGGTGGAAGTGGTCTCCAGCCTTTCTTTGAATCGTTTCTAATCGTCCTGAACTCCATTTCTTAAGGTTTTCTTGCAATTTTTCTTTGGACTTTTGACTTTTTACTTCCTCAGACGGCTGAGGCGAGCTGGTCTGGGAAACTCAGTCCTCACCTCCTTCTACAGGTGTGCAGTGGAGAGCATCCTGTGCTCCAGCATCAACGTGTGGCATGGAGGCTGCACAGCTGCAGAAAGAAAAGCTTTGCAGAGAGTGGTGAAGGCTGCACAGAAGATGTTGGAGTCAGTCTCCCCACCATCACAGACATCTACACCTCCAGATGCAGGAAGAGGGCCACCTGCATCATGAAGGACCACACTCACCCAGCACACACTTTTTGCCCCGCTCCCCTCAGGAAGGAGGTTAAGGAGCATTAAGTGTAGAACCACTAGACTGAGGAACAGCTTCTACCCTGAGGCTGTTAGACTCATGAATCTCTAACTAGAATAATCACTGTGAAAAACCATATCATGTTGCTGCTGATCTGTTTCATGTTGCTGCTGATTATCCATGTTGCTGCTGATCAGTTTCACGTTGCTGTGTTCATGCTCATCTGCTCACACAGACTCGTGTTCGTGCTGCTGATCAGTTTCATGTTGCTGCTGATCAGTTTCATGTTGCTGCTGATCTGTTTCATGTTGCTGTGTTCATGCTCATCTGCTCACACAGACTCGTGTTTGTGCTGCTGTTCGACGTCATGTTTTTATGCTCTTAGTGTTTAGTGTATTTTTATTAACATATTTCTTAGTTCATGTCTTAGATGTTATCACTGTTTTTCTTTTCCATGTTATTGTTGGATGTAACTGGGACCGTGTGAACATGTTTTGTTCACCTCATGTTGTAGAATGAGAATAAAGAAACTGCGACTCTGACGTGGCTGCTGTCAGACCCTCAGAGTCTCTAACATGCTGGTCTGGTTCTAGGGTCCAACAGAACCACAACCACTTCACCTTTCTCTGTTTCAGTCTGAATCCAAACTGAAACTTTTCTGTTTCATAACTTCCTGCTGGGGCAGCACGGTGGCGCAGCTGGTAGAGCTGCTGCCTCTCAGCGAGCAGGTCCCTGGTTCAAACCCCGGTCCAGGGGCCTTTCTGGGTGGAGTTTACATGTTCTCTCCGTGCATGCGTGGGTTTTCTCCGGGTACTCCAGTTTCCTCCCACAGACCAAAAACATGCATGTTAGGCTGATTGGTAACTCTAAATTGTCCCTAGGTGTGAGTGAGAGTGAATGGTTGTTTGTCTCGTTTGTCTCTATGTGTCCCTGTGATGGACTGGAGACATGTCCAGGTGTCCCCCGCCCCTCGCACAGTGATTGCTGGACATGGGCACCAGCGACCCCCGTGACCCAAAATGGACAAGCGGGTAAAAGATTATGGATGGAACTTCCTGCTGCAGTTGGACTCTGAAACACTTTTTTAATATAAATGAACTTTGTGTGTTTCAGAATCGACGGGCTCGTCAGGGTCCGGAACCTGAAGAAGAGGATGATCCGCTTCAACGAGGTGGTGGCCGGCCTGAAGGAGGGCCAGCAGGAGATGAGCAAGCAGGTCCAGGAGCTGGAGAACTCCATCGAAGCGTTGATGGTTAAAATCAAGGTGGGCAGACGCTTCGTCACACGTCTGTGTTCTGTTGAGACCCGAACGTCAGGCGCCGCGGGACGGCGCCCTGCTGGAGGCGGAGTCTGACGCCAGTCCAGCTTCAGAGGTCTTTGTCTGTCCGCTGGAACAGGACTCTCCCTGAGGGTCCTGGTTCTGAAGCGTCCCAGAGACGAGCTGCTGACTGAGGACGGGTGGACGGCGTCAGTGCTCTAAACCGGTCTCTGCGGGTCAGAACCAGCGCCTCCCGTGGGTTTTAGTCTCAGCTGTATCATTCTGAAAGCAGCTAGGCCGTACAGGAAACATCCGAGTTCTGACCTTGACTTTGACCTTGAGCGTTTTGTGTTCGTCAGGGCACCATCATGACCCGCATCGACATCGACCACGAGTACCAGGCCCTGGTGAGCCGGTCCGAAAAGCTCCTGACCAGCCTGCAGAACAAGAAGAAGGAGGAGGAGGAGCGCGAGCGTCTGCGGCGCATCCAGGAGGAGATGGAGAGGGAGAGGAAGAGGAGGGAGGAAGAGGAGAGACGGCGCAAGCAGGAGGAGGAGGATCGGAGACTGTAAGTGTGGAAGGGGCGTGACCAAAGGGGAGGGGCTTCGTGCATTTAGAACCGGTTCTGTCCACACTGCTCAGAACGGACCAAAGTTCTGTTTGATGCTTCAGAAACATCAAGCTGTTCTGTGAGACGAGCCTCGGTTCTCCAGAGAACGAGCAGAGGAGGAGAACAGCGGTGAGAACGAGCAGAACGGCACCGAGAGGAAGCAGGTCCAGAATAATCAATTCTGTTGGTTCTGGTACCAGCTGATGACTCTCATCACGTCTGATTCAAACATCCTAAACTCCTGACTGAACCAGGTTGGTTCTGTCTGCTCCGGTGTGACCTGCGGTTCTGAGGACTGAACAGATCCAGTCTGTATCGTCACGCTCATCAAACAGGAAGTGATGTCACATGTTGTTCACACAGCTGATCTCTCTGAGCAGATCCTGGCAACGTGTTGTCAGTCTGAAGTTATCACCTGGCAACGTGTTGTCAGTCTGAAGTTATC